TGCAGGTATACGAACGTTGAATTTACGAATATTCGCTATAACGTGCGTCACAATTAATTTAAAAAAATTTAAATTCGCCAATAGAAAGAGTTTCTTATAAAATGAAATGTCAAACGAACAGTGAATATAATTGTAATATTTAAATGAATACACTTTTGCAAAATGTATTTATTACATTATCAGAAAATTATTATATGATAATTATACTGAAGTGTTCTTGGTTAATAGAACTAATCTAGCCAGTATTATTATTTTATCTTACGTTACGTATCTTACGTATCATATACGATAATTCATAACGCATACATACATAATAATAAAACGTATTGTATAGACAATTCTATGTTTAGTACATGATTTTGATGCTTTGAAATGGCTGCTAACGTATACGATACGTAACGTAAAATCTCAGGAATGCAAGACACACATAAAGAACAACGTCATGGAACGGAACTCGTTCGTAAGCCTAGAGTTGCCTGTCCTTACAATCTTTTGTTGCTGCTGCCTCCATCACCAAGGCAATAATGTAGGAAACATTTAATTTTTAAACAGTGGTAAACTTCCACGAGCTTACAAAACACTACAACTCAGAAGACATATATCTTCAAACTGTAATTTAATTAAATTTTTTAATAAACTGTCATGACATTTCAATGAACTGTCCCTGCAGCCTCTTATTTGATAATAAAAGGTAAATGTGGCTCTGATCTGGGAAATTTGAGAACCCCTAGTTTAATAGTTACATAAATATGAGACTATTCTAAGTTCAATATTTGCTTTTTTACTTGTTAAAACTACAATTATCTTGAAATATGTCCACCTGAAGATGGCAAAAGACAGAACTGCCAAACATTTTACAATCTGACTGCACTTGGTAAATAATTTTTTTAAAACCTAACCTTAAAAAACATGAAAAAATATCATGTCCATGTTTTCATGTTTGACTAATAAAAATATTATTTTATTGTTATCCTAAATCACAAGACTTGATTCCTTTATACCTCGTTTTCATTAATCAACAGTTGCGCTACAACCCTTTTCGGATCTTGGCTTCCTGGTCTTAAAGTGTCCATTTATGAGTAGTGAGTGACCAGCCCACTGACTCTGCACAATTTCTACTCACCTCATTTTCATTGGGCAGATTAAATTAAAGTGCATTAGGTGCAAGTTTTTTAGAACAAATTCCTGGCACTACTCAGAAAACCGGTGTTTGATAATTTCTTAAGTTCACCAAATTAAGGATGCAATTTTTGGAGGAACTAACTAACTCCACCTTCCCTCCTATCCTATAGTTCTGAAGGGACAATCCATCCATTTCCTAAAACTCCTCTCTCCAGCGCTAAAGATGATGAAACAACCCAGAATACAACCATCTGTAACTATTCTAGGAAATTTATTTTAATGTACTTTGGCCTGAGATTAATTTTTTGGCAGAAAATCAGGTGCTGTAGGGGCAAATTTATGTTACTCCAACACATGGCTGACCAAGGTTAAATCACAAAAAGAATAATTTTTAAATATTCTTCACATATTGGTGTTGATATGTTATATGTTTATCCATATTAAAGAAAAGCTGTACAGATAAAATGTTATTAAGATTTTTAAATCTGTAATGTAAACTGTAATAGTGAAAAGGAAATATAATGTATTTGCAAAAACTGCAAATTATAGCAGTCAAAGAAATTTTGACTTCTTTATAAAACTGATGGTCCCATAACATGATCCACTTTCCAGTTACTGATATTTACAATTCTAAATCCACATCATGGCACTTTTGAGACAAATTTTGGATAACTGATTCTTCCTTCAGTTTCAGCCAGCCCATGAGTTGCTCTGACAAAATCAGAACTCATGTAAAACTAGTCGCAACAAAATGTATCTAAACCGAAGTAAAATCCACCAACAGCAATTAACTACAAAAATCAAACTGAATTCTTTACCCTTTTCTGCAATGGAATGTCACACAAAGCATGAATACATTATCCTGTTTTGCAAATCTACAAATTAAATTTTCAAATTATAAAAAACACAAATTTTAATGGTACCTACTTTTTAAAACACAATACTCATCAATCAAACAAATATGTCTTCTGAAAGACATGTTTTTTCTTCAATTTTTCTGTGGTAGAAAAATTAAATTTGTGGTAGCATGATTAACGTGGCAACTCTAAACTTTAACCCTCTGTTGCGCCTAAAACAATATGAAAGTGT